GTCAAATCGAAGCACACTGCAGCGATTCTTGCCCCCGACACGCCTAGTTCGCGACCTACTAGCTCGCGTCGCCTGCTTGTAGCTTCTCTCTCGCACAATTCTATATCCAGTTTTGTCTCCAGGAAGGCAAGCAGGTAACAAACAATTATACCAAAATATCCACAAATAAGCAAAGCCTTTTGGCTTTTTCTGTCAATTTAAAAAACAAATCTAACTAAGGGACCAAATTGTATAATTTTTAATAGTTAAGGGACCAAATTAGGGCAAGTGCAATATGAAACTCTATGACTAATTTGAGCATTTTTCAATAATTGGGAAACTATTTTGAGCTTTTATTCATTATGAAAAGCATGATGAATCAGAACAATGCTCTATTCAATTTGCTAATGTGGCATATGTACTACACAATGTCAGACTTCACAACAAAATGGTACTACATAAAGGCATAATCATATTTTAATGGACATTATTAGGACCATGTTTAGTCATTTCTCCTTACCTTTATCATTGTGGATGAATGCTTTAAAAACCACTAGTAAGGAAATTTCAAAAACACCTTTTGAATTGTGGAGAGAAAAGAAACCCAATTTAAGACATCTATATGTTGCCCAAATGAAGCAAAGAATTTATAATCCACATAAAATAAACTAAAGTCAAGAACAAGTGAACAACTAGTAAATTCTTTATTGGTTATTCGGAAAAATTAGAAGGGTATAAATTTTAACATCCGATCCATAGTACGAGAATTATTGAAATTGAAAATTGTCAAGTTCACTAAGAAAAGTGAATTTAGTGTGAGTGAGAATCATGTAAAGTGAATATTCAAGAAGGTGAATATTTATTTACCTATTATTTCTTCTAAAATTATTGTTCCCATGAGTCTAACTTATAAGAAGCACAAATAAATAATCACATATCTCATGATGAAGTTGTTACCAATGAATCAATAGTTGGCAAAGTACAAGTAGCATTAAGACGATCTCAAAGAGCAAGAATATATGTTATTTCGAATGATCATGTGATTTATCTACAAGAGTTAGAATTTGACTTAAGAATTAATGAAGATCCTATTTCATTTTCACAAGTCATGAAAAACATTAATTCTATTAGATGATTTGATGCGATTAAAAACAAGTTAAAATCAAAATATCACAACAAAATTTGTGATCTTATTGAATTGCCTATACGTTAAAAAATAATCGAGCGTAAGCATTGTTTAAAATTGCGCAATATGAGTCCCGCCTCAGCACAATTCCAGTGAAAAATAACTCGAGGCTTACGCCTCAGCTTGGTTAAGGCCTGCCTTGCCTTGCTAGCATGAGGCTTATGCCTAATCCTTTGATTTTTTTTATTTTTTTATTGGTTAAAACTAACATAAATCACTCCTTCGTGCACATTCGAGCCGCAATAACTTTCTCTCAACTGCCTCTACCTCCAACCCACAACCTTCACCACAGCTAACATCATCGCAGCCGTCACCAACGATCACTTGAAAATCGCACACCATCACCCTAAAAATTTTGCAGTATTAATCACATCTTTATGTTGATAAAAAACATTTATAAAAGATGAACATGATTGAAATAAATTAAGAAGCAGATTGAGAGGCGTTTGACTCCACCAGATGAGACAAAAGATAGACTAATTTGTTATGGCAATAGCTCAAAGAAAAATCATCTAAGTGATGAAAGTGCAAATGATTTTTGAGTTGTTGCCAATTATTTAAGCTTTCGTTAGGAATTAAATGTAAATGAGTAAGGAATTGAAAAAAAAAATGGAGTTGAACTTGATGTTATATGATACTTCTATGTAATTTCTATATTTAATATTATGTTGCTCTTATAATATTTGAATTTCAATTCTATTTCACGTAATTTATCACTTATCACTTTTCATCTTGTGTAATTTTTATTTCATATGTATGTCAATTTATTAATTCATGATTCAATCAGAAGTAGTAGCTGCATGGTGAGCACAGAGCGAATTATTCTTTCGCCTTTTACTAAAGAATACTGTGTGCACGCCACTTAAAGCAGCATACGTGATGCATGCGAACTTCATTTGAATTTTATTTTGAACTTTATTGTAATTTGAATTTTATGTTTTTTTTTCTACCCTATGATGGAAGGCAACCAATGATCATGTGTAGGTTGTGCTCTTGGACATGCTATTCCTTTGGTGTGCTAGTTTCTTTGGTGCCATGACATTTGGGATGACTTGGGTTTGACCCAAGTTCCGTGGGTGTGGTTTAGTTGATTCGGGTATATGCTGGCTGTTTTGCCAACATATGTCTTGATTGTTGGGATTCAGTTGCCTTTATTCAGCTCTTTTTTTCTGCTTCTGTGCATCTCTCAGGTTCATTTCCCTTTTTTGCCTCTTTGATTCTTCTGCCTAACCCGATACACCCACCCTAGTGTCTATTCCGTTCATTGGTTATTCCTGTTTCCCATGTGACCCTTCATGTGCTGCTACAGGCGGTTGACTTTTGGTCTTTTATCTCCCTTTGTCTTATTGGTTTGAGTGGGCGACTGTTTGGTTTCTTTTCTTCACCTATATATTGAGGTTGTTTTATGGCATTTGGAGGAGAATTTTGATGAGTAATAAACACTAAAACCTGAGGGTTTCTTCTTTGATAGCTTGCGAGCTATGTCCCCCTTTCTCTTCTCCTCTCTATAACTTCGTCTTGGGCTTCTTATCTATTTCTCTCCGCAAGTTTCCACCCCATTTGTATCTTTCTTCTAAAGCATTTGAAGGTGTTGGTTAGCCGATTTGTTAGCATTTGCCAGAGGAGTTTGTAGTGGACGTTGGCCCAAAGTTGCTTTGGTGGACCTCTGGTTTGCATGTCTTTGAACTTTAATCATTTTACCTACTATTTTGATGCATGTGAGGTGACCACTAGCGGGTTGTTCTGAGGGTAGTTTTATTTTTAATGTTCTTAGTGTTTAACTTCCGTTTGTTTTCAAGTTTGTTTGGTGTTGGCTTACTAAGTGTTGAATTGAGTCAGGTTCTAATTTCCTTTGTGTTCTCCTTTGGGTTTGTTTTTTTTAATCCACTTAGCTTACATCAATACGCTAATTTTTGAAAGGGTTTCTTTAAATAAGAAACTCTTAAAATAATAATAATAATAATAATTCAATAAAAATTTAATATGTCATCATTTAACAAATTATTTAGGTATTATATAAAAAATCACTTTTGACCTTTATATTTACTTTATTAATTTTTTTTAATTTTGAGGCTTATGCCTCAAAAAACCTTCATGCTTACACCTCGCCTCACAAATAAAAAATGTCTCAATACCTAATTGTGCAATTTAAAACCTTAAGTGTAAGTAAGTCTTTAAGGCCAAACGCAACTCAAATACCAATGTCAAATGATACAAAGTTAGACTTGTTGCTAAAGATTTTACTCATAAGCATGATGTCGATTACAAAGAGATATTTTCTCCAGTCTCAAAAAAGGACTCATCCATAATTATTATGACAATAAGGGCTCATTATGATTTGTAGTTACATTAACTTGATGTGAAAATTATTTTTTCGAATGGTGATTTAAAGGAACAATTTTATATGGATCAACTTGAGGGCCTTTTAGTTAAGGGAAAGGGACACATGTTATGTAAACATGAGAAGTCAATAATGCATACTTAAACAAGCTTCCCAACAGTAGTATCTTAAGCTCAATGATACTATCACGTCCTTTTGGATTTAAAGAAAACACCGAAGATTGGTGTACATACCTAAATGTCAATGGGAGAATTCCTGATTATGTATGTTGATGATATATTATTTACTACTAATAATCTTGGTTTATTATATGAGACCAAATTTTTCTCTCAAATTTTTGAAATAAAAGATATAGGTGTGGCACCCTACATAATAGGAACTAAAATATTTCATGACAAGCCACAAGAAGTATTAGGGCTGCCTAAGAAAAGCATATATTAACAAAATTTTAGAGAAATCTAAGATGGAAATGTGTCATACAAGTGTTGTTCCATTTAAAAAAGTGATAAATTGAACCTTATGTAATGCCCCAAAAAATGAATTTTAACACAAACAAATGAAACAAATTCCTTATGCATCTATTGTTCGGATGCTTGATATATACTCACATATACTCAGACTTATACAATATATATATATATATATATATATTATATATATATATATATACACTCAGACTTATACCAATCCAGACATCAATTTTGCTATTAGAATGTTAGCAGGTATTAATGTAATCTAAGGCTTGATCATTGAAAAGCTACAAAGAAAATTTTGTGATATTTGTAAGGAACAAAAGAACACATGCTCAATTACAGAAGATCTAATCATGTGAGGTAATAGGATATTCAAATTTAGATTTTTTTATATACATGGATAATAGAAAATTTACATTTGGTTGTTTGTTCATTTTAACTAAAGTTCGCATCAATTAGTAAGCGAAGAAATTCCTTCATCTGCTAAGCATTTCCACGTCTCTATTGGAATATCATCAGGTCCAACAACTTTTCCACACTTCATTTTCTTTAAAGCTTCTCTAACTTCAATTTTACTTATACGCTGATAAAAACAAAAATCTTTATTTTCATTTAGGGTGATAAAGTCACTAAAGTCAATCATATTTTCACATTCTTCATTAAAAAGTTTAGCAAAATACCTCATCCACCTTTGTTGAATATTTCATGAAATAACTGAATTAGAAACTACCTATCCTCTTTCTGTTCCATTAAGTGTTAGTTTTCGCCATTAGAAATTAACTCAAACAAGAAGAAAATTGAAAAGGAAAAGGAGAGAAACCTAGTTTCTCAAATCCTTTGATCAAATTCCAAAAGAAGCCACCATAAAACAAGGTATGTTTTCTTCAAATTAATGTTTTGTGAAAATTTATCTTATTTAAGATATTCGGTATAAAGAATGTTTGATTTGCTTAATTCACGAATGGAGAAATGTTCTCACAAGGAAATCCAGACTTCGCAAAAACAGAACAACATTTAATACCTTCCTCATCATCTCGACGCTGATTTGAAGAAGTTGCATTCGAAGTATCCGCCTGCTGCACGACCTCCTCCCCGCCAGAACTCGATTTTCTTTAGCCACATGGAGAAATAAATCAATCGATCTCATGAGAGTGGAGAAAGAAGGGGAAACCCTAGTTAACGTACCCAGGCCTTTGCGGTTTAGAGTGGAGAGCGCGAACGCGGTTAAGGAGGGCGCGAGAACAGACCTCGTCAGCCTTGAGGGACAAACCCTTGGAGGAGTGCAGGTCGGAAAGATCGCCAAGGGCAGTGGCAATCTGGAGCTGGACTTCTGATTCCGACGATGAGACGGACAGGCTTTCGAGCTTGGACACGACGGATTCAAGGAGGGAGATCGCCCCATCTACGTCCCCTTTGTCGACGAGATCCTCCACCGCTTCGCTCCAATCTTCGACCTCGTCTACCGCCATTTTGCTGCCTGGATTCGCAAATACACCGAGAGCGTAGAGAAAATGAGAATTGCCGGATTGGCTGAATTTTTGAAAACAGCTGTTTATATTGTTACTAATAGGCCAATAAAAGGTCCATAAACGTGCTGGGCCTTTTGGAACAAAGCCTTACATGGGTCCTAATTGTGTAACTATACTTTTACGCGGGCAGGTTTTGCCCACCCACATCTATTCATATCCATCCACTTGTCACACTTTTTGAACGTAGTCCATTACAGACTGATGATCTTAAGATTTGTTACTCTTTACTCTTACTGTAAACTTTGAAACCGCATATCAGAATCATAGTCGTAGAGCGGTTCAGTGTTGCGCACTGCGTAGTGAAAATTGTGGTAATATACGACATACAATGATGAACAATATAAATAGGTTTATCCCTCAATATTAAGTATCCACCTACGAGATCACGGGTGTACCAGTACCCACCTATACCCAATGCAGGGCTCTAGTTTGCCATTTTTGGAAAGAGAGGACATTAGGACCTCAACTCTCTCAACAAAATTAGGGTTATATATCATTACTTTTTAATGCATTAACACTCGAATCAGGTATTTTAGATTATTTCAATTGTCGAGCAAAGCCTATATTTTACACACATAAAATTACATCATAAAGTTTATAAACATAATGTGTGTGCGTGAGTGCGCGTATATTAACTTAGTTATATGAAGTATTGTGTATATTTTTTTATAAATTATTCTAAATTATGTTAAGTCTGTCTTTTTTTCTTCAAAATTTTCACATTGATCTCAAAGTGTACAAAGATCTCCAAGATTCTCTCAAAAGAGATTAATTCATTTTCTGACATGCAATAGATGAAAATGAAATCTCCATTTTTTAAAACATGTTCTCAATTAATTAGTCATAATCCCTTTATCAATTAATTTATTTTTTTATAGATATAATTCATCTTAATATATCCATTCATTAATTTATCAGCTCTAATTTTGTGATATATGGTCTTTTTTATATTCTCTTATATATCATAGTCAAGTTAATTATAATTTTGAAATTTTTATCTTTGTCTTATTAATAATTTGTTATTATTAATAGGCTTTTTATCTATTTTTAATACTCAACCTTAATCATAGTAGTTATAGCATCATTTATATAAATATTCATGTGTATGGTAGCTATCAATTATTTTATATTTTAATAAGCTGATTATAAATATCCTAATACTTAAATTATATATCATAAAATCAATATTTTTTTGATTAATTCTAAGATTAGCATCTCCTAAATATTTTCTTTATTATTAAAATCAATGACTTTATCTTTTGTCAATAATGATAAAGCCATTGAGTAAATGATGCTACTGAGAAAATCAGATTGGTCAGAAATAAATTGGAGAGCATGTCAAAATAGATAAAGAAAGTATTATGATTCAAAGCATCGGATTGTTGAGTTTCAAACAAATGATTTAATATTCTTGAAGGAAAGGGTGTAATTAAGTAGCTTTTATAGAGGAGAAAAAGTAAGTCTGAGATATTTTTGACCATTTGAAGTGACCAATATAGTTAGAAAATCCACTTACATATTATTATTGATGATATTTTTCTAAGATGGGATAGTAATAGGATTGCTTGTAATGAACTAATTTAAACTTGCTAAGTGTTGTATATGTACATAGCCTTTCTTGATTTCTATGAATTTTTAGAGTTATAATGCTTTTCTGATCAAATACTAGAAGAAATAGGAGCGTTGTGGCGCTGTCTTGTTGGTGTTACAATCTTGGCATTACAACATTATATTTTTTTGTTAGGAAGCATTGTGGTGTTGGCATTGAGCGCTACATATATAATGGAGTTCTTTGTTTTTATTCCAAAAATTTCCCCTTGGGAGAGCTATGATTTACGTCTATAAATATTAAAATTTACTTCAAAAAAAATCCTTTTCTTGTTTTAAGGCAACTAGCAAGAGAAAGAGGGAGATAACCCTAGAGAAAGAAGGTTGAATTTGGAGGTCTATAGCCAATTTCGTCCAACAAGCCAGTTGAGAAGGATATCTAGCTTGAGATAAGTTGTTGTTACACAACTTTAGTTTGCAATTTGGAATGTTCGTGTGAGTGTTTTGGTAATTTATCTTCTCAAATTTTATGCAAACTCAAATCTATAAAGATTGGAATAATTTTTATAGTGTAACTTTTTATATGTTACATAATATAGTGTTCTGATCATGTTACAAGGGAGAAATAAGGCCTTCAGCATTTGAATAAATGAATGACGTTGTATATAAAGAGGCATAAGGGTCTAATACTATGCATGTGTAATATTGGAAGACATAAATATCTCATATTTTGTATGTAAAATGCTTTGGAGATGTAAGAGCTCGAGGGGATTAATGTGATGTGATGATGAGAATGTGAAATAATTGAGAGTAATAAGGGCCTAAAGGGACGAATATTTTTTTTTTTTTTTTTTAAAAAATTTTTTTTTTTTTTTTTTTTAACAAAACATAAATTCATAACTCAATCAACAAAGGTTACAATAGCTAAAGAATGGAAACAAAGTTAAAAGAAAAACAACAGGAATTATAGGCGATAAAAAAAGCTCAGGAGACGGCCGAGGCTCCCAGCGACCCAGTCGCCATACCCGAACCGTCCAATAAAAGGTTGCCACAAGCAAGACGACCAGGCCGCGAGCCCCGACCACAGCATTGCTATAGCCCGTAAAACCACAAAGCCTCGGCGAACGAAGAAACGAACGAAAAGCATGGAAACTCAATGACGGCGACGTCGTCTCCCCCACCATTTCCCCCGATTCTGCTCAATTTTAGCACTAACCACAGAAAAGTCGTTGTCCGTATCCGAATATACATCATCATCAGAAGATTCCGAAATGGAATCAACAACCAACCTGTTTGTTTGGTTCCTAACTTCCAAACCTGAACAATCACCTAAACAGATAGCCATAGCTTGCGAATTAATCAGATTAACCGGGACATCAACAATCCTATCCAAAGCCGGAACCCCCTTCTCACTGTCATTAGGCAGGAAAGGCATCGCCACACCCAACTCCGAATCCAAAACAATCTCGGAGTTAACAACAGCACCCTCCGCTAAAGTATTGAATTCCACTGAAGTAATAATTGGCAAGTCAGCAGTAGCAACCTTAGGAACAAAAGGGGTAGCATTGGGAGAAAGAACACCCCCAACAGCCTCAGGAAAAAATCCCCCACCATTAATTGACCTATTATCAACCAAAACAGAACCAGAATCAATTAAGACGTTTGGAACAACATCAACTGAATCGGAATCAACCAACTTAGCAGTATCTAAATTTAAAGGCAAAACAACAGTATTCAGTCCATCAATAACGTCCACGCGATCAACCTCCGCACCCTCCCTAAGCAAAGACGAAGCGTTAAGCTCAGTAATCATAGGTTCAGACAAAACACCAGCATTATTAACAACATTAAACTTCACCCCAACCGCCTCAGCAAACACCGGAGCATCAGTAACCATATCCTCCCCAGCAGGAGTAGGAACATCCAAAACCGATCTGCACGACCCATTAGCATGCCCGATGCATTTGCACACAGAACAAAAATTAGGAAATTCATCAAGAATGACATCCTGAACATATCCCAAAGAATCAGAACCAAGCCAAACTTGTTTAGGATATGATTTCGTGATATCAAGCTCAACTAACACACGAGCATTAGAGGGCCGAGAACCCACCGAAGTCGCCTCATCAATTTTTAAAGGTTTACCAAAGATTTCAGCTAAACCAAACAGAATGCGGGGTGCAAAGAAATGGGGACGAAGGCGCGGAAAAGAAATCCAAATCGGAATAATCGGAGATTCCACCCCAATATCCAGAGTCGGAGACCACTTAGTTAGCTTCATATAACAGTTGAACACAATGTAAGACCGGTGACAAAACACCCTGCAGTAATCAAGATCGTTTGCTAACTTAATCAGAATATGGGTTTGATCTAAAACAGTCACAGAAACCTCACCCTTCAGCTTTAGGTTGAAAAATTTTTTTCTTATAGCTTCCAAAGAAGGTCTCTTAGAAGGAAAAAAACCTACTAAAGAAAACTGGAAAGGGATAGCAAGCTCAGAAATCTCAAAATCCGAAACCCACAAAGAAGGTAATCCACGGTGAGTCGAACGCCTAAGATCAGGAAAAATCGGTTTGGAGCCATCCAGAGCCTCTCTAAACGAACGAGAGTGAGGAAACCCACACAAAAAACCAGGGTCCTTAAGTTTAGAAGAAGCCATACCGAAAAGCCCGGCAAAACCAACGAAAAAGCCCCAGAAAGAAGAAAACAGCATGAAATAAAGAACTTTCCTGAAGAAAGACGATCGCCGGAGCAAGATTCCCCTCCCCGAAGGCGGGGAGACGACGGAGGCACAAAACCCCCAACCACGAAACCATGAAACCCTAGCAGGCGTTAACTCGAATTCCTTGCCTAAGGGGACGAATATAATATGGTGATAAGAATGCGATGTGGTTTACTTATGTATTTTATTTTAATCACTGTTATTATTTCAACTATAAAAAGTTCTATATTATAACTTGTTTTTTTGTTTCAAACGTAATATTAAATAATTTAATGTAGTTGATTATATTAAGAATTTGAGATAGGTGTTGGATAACTTAGCAAGCAATTGTTGTTCATTCTTATTTATTTGCATCGGAAGATTTTAGTTCATTAAATGAGAAAGGATAAGTTGAGTAGATTATAAGTGACGGTGACTAGTTTTAGATGTACCTTCAATAAGTAGTTATTCTTTAAAACTCTCGGTGGATTTATGTGATGATAGAAATGAGTGTATCGTGATGGTTGAAAATGAAATATTTTTATTGAATAGACTTACGGTGTAAATAAATAGATATTGATGATCTTGTTACGTTTTTATTGATGATGTCAGTGTCTCTGACGATGCGTAGAAATGTCTTCCAAGTAGATTTTGATCAGTTTCTATTACGTATCTTACATGATATGATCAGACCAATTTAAGGGCTGTGACGTGTCGAGTTGTAACAATGTTTTGATATCATAGTAACATATATTTAATTTATT